CGATCGCTCATAGAGCCGTGCCAGGGGCCCTGCAATAACCCCAGCTAGCTCCCTCAACACCCTGGGGTGGAGATCATCCGGACCCGCTGACTTGAACGCGTCCAGCCCCTCCAGAAGCTCTCTAACCCGGTCCTCCCCAACCTGAGGTCTGAAGGCGATCCCCTCAAGTCTGGCTTTTATCACAGCAGGGAAGTCCCGGTCCCTGCACAAGAAAACGGAGGTGAAGAATTGGTTAAAGAGGTCCGCTTTTCAATTGGTTAATGACATGATAAAACAAGGAATAAGCCACAAGAGTTTTTATCCAAAATGTAAAACAACTTTGTGCCTGGTTACTATGATGCCATTAATTGAATGTGTGGCCAAGTGTGACATGGCATGAAGTGAAGTTGTTTGGATCTCTCATCAGATCCCATTGTGCCTTGACTGGAACATCTGTCAGGAGTCTCATGCTTGTCTTGTTTCAGGTTACCCTGTTCTCCCTACACTTGTGCAAGTGTGTTATTGGGCATGTGCATGTGGTGTTGGGTTGCTCTGCCAACATATCTGCGTGTCAGGGTTTGCAGGGCCAGGATCTGTCTGAGAGTGCCACGGGCAGAGCCATGCCTCTTGCTGTGCTGCGCAGCTCTCATCACTATGGGGCTTGATTCTGAGTCTAAGGACTGTGGCAGCTCAAAAAGCAGTGACAGTTTCATTCACATCCCTGTTCAAAGCCTGATTTTCAAAGAAGGTAGGATTGAGTTTGGGCATGTCATTTCTTCAACCTCTTGGTGCTCTTCACACTTCAGTGCCTGCAGGCAGGGGACCATGTCCAGGGTAAAGGCAACCTGTGGCATTTGATCTCAAGGAACGCTGTAGGCTGGAAAGATTCTTTTAACTTCTTAATGATCATGTACTTTCTGTCTTGTGCGAAGCTGCACAGAGGAGACCGTGGGCAGTATGCAGGTATTTCAAAACATGCTTGTCTCATGATAGTAATGCAGCCCTTTCCATTAAAATCCAAGCAATGTGTTTTATGCTCAAGTAGGAACTAAGGTAAAAACTATACACTTATAGAGCATTCCTACAACATGGTCTTGTCTGTCTGCCTATATCTCGCTTCTGCCTAGTAAGCTTTTAGTTTTTGCATTGGTTAAAACTATTGTATTGGGTATTTCTAATCCTGGTCCCATTTCATCAGCCTGAGTGAAGTTGGCTTTCCCTGCTGATAAGTCATGGGGATTGTCTTGTGGAGCAAGAATTGATCTGTAGTTTTAATCCAGTATTGGCTGCAGCAGCTGGGAGGCCGATTTGGAAAGGTGTTTCCTAAAACAAGATGATGCCCTTTGATGCCTGACCAGACTGAGGTTTTTAACACCCTTTTGGAGCTGGAGAATCCCCCTGAGCTGGAAGGGACAGCATAGTGCTGTCAGCAGCAGGTTGGACACACACAGGGAGTGATTTCTCAGTTCATTTGGAGTCCAGTCTTAATCTAAAGCAGGGGTGGGCAAAATGTGGCCTGCGGGCTGGATGCAGCCTGCCAGGCCATTCTATCCAGCCCATGGGTCCCCTAAAAAATTTAGAAAATTAATATCTGCCCCTGGCTACCTGTCATGTGGCCCTCAATGGCTTGCCATAACTCAGTAAGTGGACCTCCGCCGGAAGTAATTGCCCGCCCTGGTCTAAAGTGACAAACTGTCCTAGGCCAACAGGATGAAGTTCCAGCAGTTATTGCAGCCCTTGATCTGCTCAAAGCAAATTAATTTGGCATAAATCGTCCCTTCTCACCAGATTTTCTCCCCTTGGCTTCCCCAGGTTCCCTGCAGGTGAGCACATGCAGGTCTGTAGCTGAAACCTCAAAAGCTGAGGCCTTGTCCTTGTTGAATGGACGTGAAGATCACGGGTCTCTGAAAAGAAGTATTTTGCCCCACATTCCTGTGCCTTGTCAGACTGTCTCAAGCTGCCAGGTGCCCTGTTTACTCCTGCAGGGCTGTGCTGCATGAACCACCCCACTAAAAGCATCATCTCACCTCCTTAGGTTTCCAGGGTAATAAAGGATGGGAGGGCCCAGCAGCAGTCATGCTGGTCACCCTTGCTGACTTACCCCAGGTCCAGGTCTTTCAGCCTGCTTGGTAGGTGTCATCACCAGCGCTGCTGGCCTTTCACTTCTCCTTGCTTCCTTTGCCTGCAGGTTTCTCTCATCTCATGCTGTGGTGACTCTGATGCTGAGAATGCTGAGAGTATTTGGTGCAGGGGATGAAAGGCTGAGTCCTTGTGGGGCTGTTGTGTTCTGGGTGCCAGTAACTATGTCCCTGTCTCTTCCTTCCCCAGCCCAATCCTGGAGGCCTTCGGCAATGCCAAGACAGTATATAACAACAACTCTAGTCGCTTCGGCAAGTTCATCCAGCTGCACTTCTCCCAGCATGGACACATCCAGGGTGGGCGAGTCACTGACTGTATCCTTTCCTCCAGGAGCCTGTTGCCCTCCCTGCTTCTGGCACACAAGGAAGATGGGTAGGGACTAGTGACAACTGGAAGTAGCTTGGCAAGCTCCGTTCAAGCAATGTACCCCTGCAAAGCTGGTTCACAGGAGCAGGTACTTTGTACCTCCCTTGGAATAGGCAGGGGTGCATCTGCTGTGTAGCCCTGGGATGCCTGTATTGCTCAGTCTTTCTAGCTGCTGCTGACCTGCACTGTCCATGCACTGCACAGAGCAGGGTTAAGGCTTTTATTGTCCTCGGACTGGCCCTGAAGTCCATAGAGCTTGTTTATGGCACGTACCTGTTATCACATGGTTCACACTGCTCCCCAGGGGAGCAGGGGAGGATTCTCTAGGGGAACTGTGATCAGGATGCACTTGGTCTCAGAGGGGATCAGTGGCTGCTGAAAGCCAGTTGCATCCTGCCCAGTACCAGTGCAGAAATGCAGCCCAGACTTGAGGCAGGGAAGGCCAGAGGTAGCTGAGCTCTGGTCTGCCGTGGCCCATCCCCTCCCTGGCTGGCCTGCCCCTACCTCCTCCACAGCTCTGACATACACTCTCCTTCCCTTTGTACTCATATAGGGGTGTGTGGGGCTGCCGTACAACTCCTTTGTGTGACCCAGAACACAGCATGTGGCAGATTGAAGACTCTGGCGCAAGTTGTGGAGTCAGCTCTGCTACCGGCTGCCACATGACACATTGGGCTAAAATACCTTGCTCTAGGCAAGTTGGACACCTGATGATCAGGGATGCTGAGGAGGGAGGGAAAGCTGAAAACAATGCTCCTGGCTTCCCCAGAGTCTGAGTCACCTGGTGCATGGCTCCTTGTCTTCAGATCCTTTTCTTGGGGGTTTGGAAATGCATTCATCAGAAATTGGGCTGTGAGGGCACTGGCAAGTTGTTTTCTCTTTCATTGGCTGCTCAGATTTGCTGGAGAAGGTGAGTCTTTTCGTGGCTGAGGGAGCCCCACCATCCTCCCTTGTGTCTGTCCATCACCTCGAGGGCTGGGCAAGCCCCCTGCTCTCACACTGTGGGGAGAGCTCCTTCATCCCTGTCCCTGATCCTCACCGTGGTGGCAGCAGGGACACCTCTTGCTGGTTGGCTGGGACCTGCTGGCTGGCTGCTGTGCTGGTGGCTGTAGTTAAGGCATCGTCTTGTCAGGATGTTGCAGGCGCAGTTCCTTCCACAGCTGTTCCAAATGAGCGTGCAGGAGGTCTGCTACCAGAGCATCACACCATTGCTTTCTGTGGGAGAACGGGGGCCTTTCAGAGCTGCCCATCCTGATGTCTGGCTCGGCTGCAGCCTGGGCTGGGATGAACAGCAAGCTGCAGCAGGTTTGAGGAGCTTTTCTCCTCTTTCTCCTGAACTTCACATCGGCTGCTTTTGGCAGGTGTGGGGAGCTGGTGCTTTGCTGCTGGGCCCAGAGGCATCATGCTGACAGGAAGCTCGTTCTCTCCCAGCGTGTGCAGACTGTGGGGGTTCTTCAGAGTGGCTCCCTGCTAGTGTGTGCCCTGTCCTCCCTCCCTGGAGATCACACAGGAGATGTTAACATGATGTGTCAGGGCACTCTTTCCCCTCGCCCTCTCAGCGGGTCCTCTTGCTCCTTCTTTTGCATCCCAGAACAAAGAAAGTAGGAAGGTGCACTTTGACAGATGTGGCTACTGTTGGGTTTTCACCCCCGGCCTTGAGGAGGGCTTGTTTTCAGCTGCTAGATCCTTGCTGAGCACCTTTAGAAGGTAGGAAAGGACATGGGACACATCTGTGCATAAGAGCCTTGGCCGAGGCGACCGGTTGCCTTGTGGTTTGTGTGGTAGAGTTGACTGTCGCTTTAGTAATAGCTGAGATGAGGATGGTTTGGATAGGAATGATCCTGCCTCAGGCAGGGGGTTGGACTAGATGTTCCCCAGAGATCCCTTCCAGCCCCGCTGCTCTAGGAGTCTGTGATTCTGTAATAGTACACAGCTCTCAAGGGCTGCCTGTGGGGACACTGACCTGGCTGATGCCTTCAGCAGCCCAAAGCCAGTAAAATAAGCTTTTTTTTTTTTTTTTTAAATGGATGCTTCCACATAAACTTGATGCAATTTGAAGTTCTATCTTCCAAAACCTGGCTTTTCTTAAGTGTCTGGGATGCACACGATAGGAGTTCATTTTAGGTGCCTTTGAAGCATGAAGAACAGGACAAAAGATTCGGCTTAAGCTTTCAGAACAGCCTTTCCAGCACTTTTTTCTTTCCCTGTCGCACAGCCAGGGCTTTTCTGGCATGCCCTAGATCAGCTCCTCGTGAGTTCATGTTGTTAGGCACATTAGGGTCCCTGTCATGGAGTCGACTGATAATACCTGGGGGCCTGATCCTGCCAATCATTGTTCGTGTGGTCAGTTGTCACTCTCATAAGAAGCCCAGGGCAGTGAAGAGAGTTGTGGGATTAAAATCTCTTACAGAAAAGGTTTTCCAGGACTAGCAGCCACCTTGTTCCTTGCACCCCTTGGCACAGTCCCCTGTTGGCAGACAAAAAACATGTCTTAAAAGATTCCATCAAAACATGGATCCAGCAGTGAAATCCATGGCATTACACACACCCTGAGGGGCTCTCCATTCTAGCAAAATGGACTGTGCCATAGATCTGACCTCCTTATTATGAGCCCCCATCCTTGTGTCACATGGACTGGGTCCTATGGTGTGGAGAAAAGAGCTGTGCGTGAGAGGGGCCTTCGGTGGTTCTTGCCTCCTAGCCAGCACAGTTCCATGCACATGTATTAAGCAGCATCCTTCCACCTATTTGTGCTTAGGAGAATCAGCTGTGCTCAGGGGTAAGGCTTGGATAGGGGTTCCTGCCCCAACATGCTTTCTAGGTAAGTGCAGAGAGGCTGGTTCATGCTTGGTGACAGGACCGTGGATTGGGTGACAAGGGCCTTGTGCCCCTTGCTTCTGCCACTGGTATACTGGCCTTAGTTGCTTTCCCAGAGTCTCTCTGCTGTCACCACCCTGGATTCCCAACCCAACCAGCTGCCTCCTGTGTTGTCCGTTTCAGAACCGGGTGGTGCACCAGAACCCAGGTGAGCGGAACTACCACGTGTTCTATGCACTGCTTGCTGGTGTTGCTGGTGAGGAGAAAGGTAATTTTGTTCCTTCTGCCCCTTCTCCAACCAATCAAAAGCCCATGGCAGGGATGAGTCGCATGGGATTTAGCAGATTCTAGAACCAAAAGGAGGACTTTTACTTGGAATTGCTGTAAGGCTTCTGGGGATAGGCTACAGCATGTTGTGAGCTGCTCTTTTGTCTATTCATGATCTGGGAATGAGAAGGAGAGTGGTCTAGCGGACTGGCTCCAGGACTGGGAGTCTGGAGTCCTGATCCCAACCCTTACCAGTGGCTTCCCGTAGGGAACCTAATTTCTGGAGGGTTTCCAAGAAGATGGAAGGGGTCTGGGGTGGGCCCATCTTCACCAAGGGCAAATGAGATGACCTGGGTGACTCCAGGCTGATTGATCTGACATCAGTCCCAAAAAAAACTGAAAAACTGGTGTGGGATTCAGTTAATACAGACTTAAAGAATGGAAAGAAAATTAATGCGGGTCAACAGGATTTGCAGAAAATAGGTTTTTGTTAAAAGAACCTGATTTAATTCATCAATGAGCTAATTTGTTTGGCTGACCAAGGTAACTGCAAATGTAATTGGCTCAGAGTCTGGTAAAGTGTTTGGCTTTGTACCATATAATATTCTTATGATAAAAGCTGGGCTTATATATTACCAATAAAACACAAATTAAATAGGTCAGTTTGCTCATTTTTAACCCAGCTTAACCCAGTGGAAATTGTCACTGAACGTGGAAGCTTCTAGTGGGTTCTTCAGTGCTTGGTACTAGGTCCCAACTTGTACCATATTTTTTAGTTGGTAATTCTGAAATAAATATAAAAGTAACTGCAGATAAAAATTTGCAGATGACCCACATGTTGATATAATGATAAACATTGACCTATTCCTGCCAGCTGAAATCATCTTAGGGCTGCAAAGAGAGAAGTGGTCCCCCTGGGTTAGAAGTGAAGCCCAGGATCGGGGTGGCTGGGTAATGGCTGCATGAAGTTTGGCCTGAGAATAGTCATGATCCCAGCTGTACTGAACCCTCATGTCCACAAGCCTCGGTGTACCTGTGGGTGCCTGTTTTCCATGTGAACTGACCTCTCTCTTGTCTCTTTTCTTATTTTGGGGCTGGCTCACTGCAGAAGCCCTGTCCCTCTCAGAGCCAGAGAGCTACCACTACCTTAACCAGTCTGGCTGTATGAATGACAAGAACCTGAATGATGCAGAGATGTTCAATAAGGTCATGGTGAGTCCTAGACCTCATGGAAACTTCTGTGTGCAGTCACACAGCAGTGCTTTGGAGTGATTATGTTGCACCCAAAAGGGTTTATGTCTGGTACCATGTGGGGTTATCCCTCTTGGATAGGGTTTTTAATTAAAATGTAAGTGGAAGAAGAATACTTATGCAGATGAAAATGAATGACAACCTGGACCTGAAAGTGTGAGTCACTGAGAGCGCGATGCAGTTGCTGCAGTGCCCAGGATGGCTGGAGCCCCTTGGTTCCAGGCAAGAGGGGAAATGGAGCACAAAATGCTCAGCATGTCTGATGAGGCTGAGAGAGATGCAGTGTGTTGCCACCTTTTTGCATTTTGCTTGTTCTGGATTGTGTGGCTGGTGACTGGAGAAAAGGAGCTTTCCTCCTGAGCACACAAAGGCAGGAGGAAAGCAAAGACTAGTGGCAGTTCCAGCTGGGGGACCTGGTTACAATGCTTAAAGTGCATAGCATGGGAACTTCCTGACTCTGTCCTGGAAACATGGAAGAAGTGTGTGTGTGTGTGTGTGTGTGTGGGTGTGCGTGTGTGTGTGCGCACGTGCACGCACGCACAAGTTCTGAAAAGCATATTTCATGTACTAAAATCAAGGAGTCTGGAAACAAGAAGTGAAAGCTATCAGCACCTTTTGAAGAGTGGAGATTTTGATGTAGGCAAAACAGAAACTTAGTGGGAGGACTCCCAGAAGCAGAGAGTCCTAGAGATGGATGTAAAGTGTGTGCACGTGTATATGCCTCTTTGTGGGTGTGAGGGGAGAAGGAGGTCTAATGAACATGGAGAGATGCTCAGGTGGGCCCAGGGGATGGGTTGGGTGATCCTGAATTGGTCTCTCCCACCCCGAGTTCCTGTGATCCTGAGCCCTAAGCTGAACGGTCAGGATGTTGGTGTCCATTTGCATGATGCTACATCACTCTGTCTGTGTGGCTCTGAGCAGACTGCAATGAAGGTGATGGAGTTTAGCACAGAGGAGGTCCGGGACATCTTCAAGCTTCTGTCTGGCACGCTACAGCTGGGAAACATCGAGTTCATGACGGCCGGTGGAGCCCAGATCACCACCAAAGCAGGTAAATGGGATCTTGTGAGTGTGGACAGAAGAGTGTATGGCTTGAGTAGTGCCCACTATAGCCCTTGGTGCCCTGCCCTGCCCTGCCCTCTAGGACAGAGTCCACAGCAGATGAGTGCCTGTGGCCTGTCTGCAAAGAGAAGGATCCGCAAAGAACATCCATGGGCAGAAGCTTCATAATGCTGACCATCATAGATTTCCCTCTGAAGCATCTGCTCTTGGTCACCAAGACAGGATCCCCAGCTAGCAGTTGAGCCAGTCTGGCAAACCCTGAGCTCTTGAGCAGATGGGGGGTCTAGAAATACCAGAAAAAAAAATGTTCCAGTTCTGGAGCTGGCTGAACCTCTGAGCCCCTCATGGTCTCTGGGGGACTTGACTCATAGGCCTTGGGGTGTTGCTTTTCTCCAACTGGAACCCCCAGGAGTTGCTACCTCAAGGCTGGGGCCGCAGATGCCTACAGTTTGCTACTGTTGCCTCAGCACATCTGGCATCTGCTCAGCTCTGTGGCACTAAGCAGTGACAGGATTGCAATGACAGAGTTTTGGAGGCACTGACAGGGTCAACCAGCATCCAGCCAGCTCTTCAAGTCAAGGACCGTTAGCTCAGAACAAATGATTTTGAAGAAAATGCATCCTGAAAGCAACACACAGCTAACATACATGTCCAGCTTAACACACATGCCTAATTTAACCATTCGTCTTCTGCATGGAGTCCTGGCCAGTGTGAAGTGCTAAGGTCCTTTCACAGGTCCTGTCTGTCTCCTGTCACTTTTACATGTCTGCCAGTTCTTGGATTGCATGCATGCATGCATGTGTGTGCGTCTGTCCCCCTAGGCCAGGGCTGTCACTTTTACTTTTGTACAGTTTATCACGTCAGTCCTCTTGCACTGCATCAACCTAGTCTGTGCTTCCTCCTCATTTTGTGTGCGAGTCAAACTTCAACAGAGGCATTAACCTGCCTTCATAGAATCATAGAAGTCGGGTCGGAAGGGACCTTGTAGATCTTCAAGTCTGACCCCCTGCCTGGGCGGGAGAAAAAGACTGGACTCATTTGAGTCCAGCCAGGTAGTCATCAAGCCTCTTCTTAAAGATCCCCAGGGTAGGAGCCAGCAGCACTTCCCTAGGAAGTTGGTTCCAGCTCCTAGCAGCCCTGACTGTGAAGTAGTTCTTATGGATGTCTAATCTAAACCTACTCTCTAATAATTTGTGTCCATTGTTCCTTGTCATGCCAGGGGGCGCTAGGGGAA